AGCCTATGCATTTCCTTGTCAAAGGCATAGCAAGCTAGCAAACTGTAGACTGTAGTAACTAATAGTACTGTAACTCGCGATTGAGCGGCGAATGCAAATGTGCTCTATTGTTAGGGGAGAGATCAGCCCCTCTCTATGGTTCAGCCAACGTGCGTCATCAAGTTGGGGCGTGTCCACGAGCTCTTGGGCTCCAGTGCGTCGTCGAGCCCTGTTTTAGCCCCGCCCAAAAAATCCGTAAAATAGCAAGGGTGAAAAACTGTTTAACGGTCTAACTCCGTATTTCAGAACTTCACAGTTCACAGTCTTTGTAATATGTTTTAGCAATACATTTGTAACATTTACAATGTGTTTAGAATTTTTGGTAACACTTTATAATAACTGCACACTATTAATCATTAGTTAAGCATGAGTAACCAGTTAATTCATCATTTATAAAACATTAATAGACATTATAAATGTTTATAAATACAGCTATACATGTTTTTTTCTTGATTTATAAGCATATCTATAATGCATTTAATAATTGTATTTTCATACTTTGTTAATGATCAATTAATAATTTCTAAATGAAGTATAGCATTATTTACAAACCAGTTGTTTAAGAGTTGTCAGTCATTCATAAGATCACTTAGAAAGTGTAAGTAAATGTAGTAAATACAGGTAGTTATAAAGCATTTAGTAGTGGTCAGTTAACTATTTTTGTGAGCTAATCTAAAGTGAGGACTATTCATGCTTTGTAAAGCATTTATAAAGGTGATTTAAAGACTCGTCAATCTTCTAAACAGTAAAATGTAACAAACACAACGCAGTGATACAGAACATAGAAATATTTAACAGCCTTAAAAAATGCTTTACAAGGCATGACTAGTCCTCACTTTAGATGAGCTCATGAACATAGTTAACTGACCACTACTAAATGCTTTATAACTACCCAAATTAACCCTTAATTACAGCATTAATACATGTTAATAAAGAATTTATTAACACATTAAGTTACCATCACTATATGTCTAAATAATAAGATGTATGAATGTACATTTAAATAGTTTATTAATCATTTACTTACTCGCTCTAAGTAATCGTATGAACCACTGAAAACTCTTAAATAACTGGTTAATAAAAAATGCAATTCTTCATTTAGAAATGATAAATTGATCATTAATAAAGGATGAAAATACAATTATTAAACAAATTATAGATATGCTTTTAAATCAAGAAGAAAGCATTTATAGCTGTATTTATGAACTGCTTATTAATGTCTATTAATGCTTTATGAATGATGAATTAATGGTTTACTCATGCTTAACTAATGATTATTAGCGTGTAGTTATTATAAAGTGTTACCGAATTTTTTTGTTGAATTACCTTTACAGGGACTATAAGCACAATACGCCATGAAAAACAACTAAATTTGATACAGTTTGGTGGCATTATGTGATTTCCACTTATATAGATCAGTGGTGCATGCCAATGAAGACCATGGGCTGGCATTATGCAAATGAGTTACAAACCTACATGTGTTCGAGCAGGAAGTGAATTCAGGCAGTTCAGAATCATTTCTTTCTTTTGTGAAGCAGTACTTTTATAATGATGCACTTTGATCTTTGAAACTTTCAAGAGCTTTCACATTCAGAAACAGCTGTTTTACATACTACATGAAAGGTAATATCTGAAAAAGCATTTATGCTTTGAAATACCCTTTCTGGCTATATAGCTTAAGATCTGCACACAAAACAAACCCTTATTGACCTCATTTAAATCCTGAAGCCAGTTTTGTCTGGGAACTTTAGTGTTTTAAGTGCAACCCCCACCCCCACCCCCACAACTTTGATGACTCATTTAATAAGCTCACTTTTAATGGACTGTTTTGTAACTGACAGACTCAGTAATCCATTTGATTCACAAATGAAACATCTCCACTAGCGCTGTGATGTAAATTGGAGCCATCTCAAATACGTTGTCAGACACCGGTGTGCAACTTAATTGGAGCCCTCCATATCATTACAGCCAATGGCCACTACTCTGGAAAGATAATTGGGATTCTACCCAAACACTACAGCTTCATCTGACACAGTGGTCAGAATCTTTCCAGAGTTAACCTTTATTAAAAGGCAAGACCATTCAGGCAAAGACTTTCAAGCGACCCTAATGTAAAATCTCTCCTAGCCATATGCAGAAAAGGAGGTGGACAATTCAATTTGCCCCATGCACTCAGAGGCAGTTGCTTTGTTGTGGGCGTGGTGCTTTCCTGAATTTGCTAACATCTTCCCTACAGTTAAATGAGTAGGCGGCCCTGTTGGGTCATGGATACTTCACTTGACAGCATGTCTGGAGGGGTGAGCGCGGGTTGTGCTCTTCAAGTCACTTTAATTATGGCACAGCGACAGACCCAGCAGCCTTTAAGGGATGGAAAACTTCACATCACAAACAAGATAAATGATAGATTACCACAGAAGCGAAATCTTGTGAATCATCTCATGTCGAGGACTCTGACTCAGATAACGTGAATGTCAGCTTCTCTGGGCTCACACGTTGACGGACTCGTGTACAAAGTGTATATAAAACACACAGCACCAGAAAACGACTAAACACGGCATACGTGACTTTTTAAGTGTGAATGTGGAGGTTGTGTGAAGATCATGCATTGGACTCAAAGTAAGCATCACAGCAGTACATTTTCTGAGCTGTTACATTAGCATATTTTGCTGAATTTTGTTCACTTGATGGCTCTGGATGTTTATGCGGCCTATATATCACCAATATTAGCTAAACGTTGACCTATTCACTGACTGATCTAATCCCATAAAGCACTGTTAGCTGATCATGGTTGCAAGTTACAGTGTTACCAGCAAAGTTCAACGATTCAGTGTTTCCTGAATCCTGAAATCATAGTTCCAACGAACATTCACAAATTACATTCAAAAATATCTTCAGCTATGGGCACTTTTGGGCCTGTGACTTGTGGCCCCGAGAAAATGTTTAAATATTCTATGTGACTACCTTGGCTCAACTATAAGTTTATCAAGCGACGAGAGTAATTTTTGTGCGAAAAAACTAACAAAAATAACAACTTTATTTGACTATTCCTTTTCTTCCTTGTAGGCCTGAGACGAGAGTTCAAGAGTTCACGACACATGAGCGAGAACTGCACTGAAGTAGTTGAAGGAGATCGCAATTCTCGCGCATGCGTAATGGAAATCTCTTGAAGGCCTACAAGGAAGAAAATGAATAGTTTAATAAAGTCGTTATTTTTGTTTGTTTTCTTCGCACAGAAAGTATTCTCGTCGCTTGATTGAAACTTATACTTGAGCCACTGTTTTCACATGGAATATTTAAACATTTTCTTCATTGACTTTCTGGGCCTTCAAGTTTCGATCCCTTAGACAGCCTATGTAGCACTGATCCACCTCTCAAATTTAATCAAAAATATCTTCATTTGTGTTCCGAAAACGAACAAAGGTCTTACGGGGTTGGTACAGCATGGGGGTGAGCAATTAATGACTTAATTTTCATTTTTGGGTGAACTAACCCTTTAAAACACTCATGTTCTGACACATCTAACAATATTTCCAAAAACTGAGAAAGATGATTGGCCTTCACATCCATATTATAGACTGAGATGGCATGGGTTTCTATGGTAACCCATTGAACCACTGTTATACACTCTAGAAGCACTCAAGACAACAATAAATTAGCCTGTCAGAACTCTAAATGCAGAACCAGAGAATGCAGAATAGCACACTCTGGTGAAATACAAAAGTTGTAATTAGTAATAGGAGCATCAATAATAGAATAGTCTTTTTGTGTGCACTGGAGAATGCAAAGAACTTGAAAACAAGTTAATCAGAAAAAAAACAATAACATTATATTTAAGGCATTTAACATAATTAATATAGAAATCCTTAATGGGCACACTTAGTTGTGAACAGCACCCTTGACTTACCATCAATGAATCACCTCAAATTGTGCCTGTCTCTGTGCCTAAGTATGTAATGAATTGTGTTGATAGCATTTATTTGTAGTTGGTGTATATGAAACAAAGCCTTTCTGACAGCAATACCAACATTCAGGGATACCATGAAGCAGAACTTTAATCTGTATAATTAATCATGGAGCAGATATACCGTAGACACCAAAAGAAGTAACCATGGAAACCTGATGACAAAGCAGTGTGTATGGTATGTGGTTCTGACTTTTTTTTTTCAAAAGAATGTCAGAGATTTCTCTCTGTAACATGAAAGACTTATCTAACTCGGAATTTGAGCATAATCATATACCTGCATTTTAATAGAGTACATATAGACCCCTTTTGCTCAACCGAGGTAACGTACGTTAATCCTGTCAGATCGTCCATGAATTGAGTGAGCGTGTAGGCGGCTACAGGTCGGCCAATCTGGTTCTGTCCGTTAAAAATAACTTTTGGAAATAACAATCGCGGTCCTGGACACTGAGTGACCTTACACATTAAGATAATATCGAATTTTCTCCAATCATTGTTAAAAAACAAGCTAACAATCCTTGCTAACTAGCGTTAGTGAAGCGGCCAAATGGATCTTTCTGCCTCCACCTAAGCTCCGCCCACAAAAAAACGTCACCATGTTTACCAACTGTAAAAGGGTCTATAGTACACGGTTGAAGCATTTTTTTTTCTACTTTAACATAAAAAACTGTTTTTGGTTTCACATGACCATTTACAATGTCTGCTTAATATCTGCTAACTCTGTAAAGTAACTTTGCAACTACATCAACCTATTCTAACCCTAATCCTTCCAGTCTACTAATACTCTACTAACACTCAAATGAGAGTCAGTAGACATGTAGGTGCAATGTTATAGTGAACAGAACATGTTAAATTGTCACAGACTAGAAGGACACAGATGGATAGAGTAACCAGGTTTATTGAACAGGTGGTTGGGTTAGACAACAGGTGAGTATGCAATGGAGAAAGTTCAGGGATGCAGCGGGAAACAGTCTGATGAAGTATATCTTATCTGGTGCAGGACGGAGAGACGGAGAGTGGAAGCAGCAGACGGATGAACAGGTGGAGACCGGGAACCAGGAGCTGACGATGGGCTGACGGAGCTGAAGCAAGCGGGTAAGTAATCCGTAACTTAGTGGTCAGGGTAACAGGAGTCTGTAGCCGTAGAATCGACGAGACCAGACGGTGAGTGACTGTGAGGAGTGAGTTTATAAAGGGAGGATGATTGGGACGGTGATTGATGTGGGCAGGTGACGGTGATTAGAAGGCTGGGGAGCTGGAACGAGTGGGCGGAGTGAAGGTGTCTGGTGCTGACGCGGATGGATCCGTGACAGTACCCCCCCCCCCACGGCCAGCTCCAGCTGGCAGACGGGACCGACGACGGGGACGACCACGGCCCCGGGGCGCTGGACGATCTGGGTGGGTGGTGTGAAAGTCCTGGAGTAAGGAGGGGTCCAGAATGTCCTCCCGGTTGACCCAACATCTCTCCTCAGCACCGAATCCCTCCCAGTCCACGAGATACTCCAAGCGGCCGCCCCGTCGTCGGGAGTCGAGGATCTCATGGACTCGATAGATGTTATCATCTTCAGGATCTGCAGGAGGAGGGGGCACCTCCGCAGCACCAGACTCTGGGGAAGAAGGAGAGAGAGGGTTAGTGTAGGGCTTCAGCAAGGAGACGTGGAAGGTGGGTGCGATGCGGTAGTGAGCGGGAAGGACCAGCCGGTAGGTGACGGGGTTGATCTGCCTCTGTATCGCGAAAGGTCCGATGTATCTGGGACTCAGCTTCCGACAGGGCTGTCGGAGACGGATGTCCCGGGTGGAGAGCCAGACCAGTTGTCCGGGAAGGTAGTGAGGGGTGTCGGAACGGCGTAGGTTGGCCTGGTTCTGGTGTCTCCGAACAGCCCGCTGGAGGTGAGTATGAGCTGAGTCCCAGACTCTCTCGCTCGTCTGGAACCAATGATGGACTGCTGGGACGTCTGATGGTTCTCCTGACCAGGGGAAGAGTGGAGGTTGGTAGCCGAGTATGCACTGGAATGGGGTGAGTCCGGTGGTGGTTTGTCGGAGAGAGTTCTGTGCATACTCGGCCCAGGGCAGGTAACGACTCCAACAGTCCTGATGATCGTGGCAGTATGACCGCAGGTATCTCCCTATCTCCTGGATCTTCCGCTCAGTCTGGCCGTTTGACTGAGGATGATAACCCGAAGTGAGGCTGACGGTCACTCCCAGAAGGTTGAAGAAAGCCCTCCAGACACGGGAGATGAATTGGGGTCCTCGATCGGAGACAACGTCCTCTGGGATACCGAAGTTCCGGAAAATGTGCTGGAACAGGGCCTCCGCTGTTTCAAAGGCTGTAGGAAGGCCAGGAAGGGGGATCAGCTTGCACGCTTTAGAGAAGCGGTCTACTACTACTAGGATGCAGGTGTGATTGTCAGACATGGGCAGGTCAGTGACGAAGTCCACTCCGAGGTGGGACCAGGGTCGAGTGGGTATGGGAAGAGGGACCAGTTTGCCTTCTGGGAGATGACGGGGAACTTTGGCCATGGCACAGACTGAGCATCCTTTGACGAACCGGGAGACGTCCTGGGCCATACCCGGCCACCAGTAGCGCTGTTGGACGAGCGAGAGAGTGGACTGGCTGCCTGGGTGTCCAGAGCCCGGCGAGGAGTGAACTGAGTCCATGAGGGACAGGCGTAAACGAGTTGGGACATAGACCCGTCCCTCTGGACCTCCCGGCGGAGCAGGTTCAAGCTGTGTGGCCTCGGCGATGTGCTCATCCATGCTCCACTGAATGGGGCTGACCACCACGGCTGGAGGGAGAATGGTTTCGGACTCCACAGGAGGGACCACGGGTTGGAACTGACGTGAGAGGGAGTCTGCTTTCACATTCTTATCTCCGGGGCGATAGGTGACTGAGAAGTTGAAGCGTGTGAAGAACAGGGCCCAACGGGCTTGACGGGGATTGAGTCTCTTGGCCTCTCGGAGGTATTCAAGGTTACGATGGTCCGTGATCACAGTAAAAGGGTGTTGGGCTCCCTCCAGCCAGTGCCGCCATTCCTCCAGCGCGAGTTTGATGGCCAGTAACTCCCGGTTGCCGATGTCATAATTTTGCTCCGCCGGGGACAGTTTCTTGGAGTAGAAGGCGCATGGGTGGAGTTGAGGTGGGTTCCCCTGCCGCTGAGAGAGGACCGCTCCTACCCCCGAGATGGATGCATCCACTTCGACGAGGAACGGTAAGGCTGGGTCCGGAAGAGCCAGGGTAGGAGCGGAGCTGAAGGCGGACTTCAGGTCTTGAAAAGCGCGGATGGCTTGGTCGTTCCAGGATAGAGACTTGGCCCCACTCTTGAGAAGGTCGGTGAGGGAAGAGCTGAGGGGACTGAAGTTCTGGATGAACCGGCGGTAGAAATTGGCAAACCCCAGGAAGCGCTGAAGCTCCTTACGGGTGGTGGGTTGGGGCCAGTGGAGTACCGCTTCCACCTTCCTCTGGTCCATGGTGATACCGTGGGGAGTGATGATGTAACCGAGGAATTGGATGGTGCTTTGGTGGAATTCGCATTTCTCCAGTTTGAGATAGAGGTGATAGTCTCGGAGCCGGGTGAGTACTGTTTGAACGTGATGGATATGAGAGGTCAGGTCGGGGGAGTAGATGAGGATATCGTCGATGTAAATGATGACAAACTGGTTGAGGAGATCGCGGAATATCTCATTCATGAAACCTTGAAAGATGGCGGGTGAGTTGGACAATCCGAAGGGCATCACGAGATATTCGTAGTGCCCCGCGGGGGTGATGAAGGCGGTCTTCCACTCATCTCCTTCCCGGATGCGGATGAGGTTGTAGGCACTACGAAGATCTAGTTTGGTGTAGATGGATGCCCCTCGGAGTTGTTCCAGAGCGGCTGGGACCAGAGGAAGAGGATAGCGGAATTTGACAGTAGCTTGATTGAGGGTACGGTAGTCGATGCAGGGGCGCAAGCCTCCATCCTTTTTCCCCACGAAGAAGAAGCTCGAAGCGGCAGGGGACACAGATGGTCGGATGAATCCGTGGTCGAGAGCCTCCTGGATATACTCCCCCATGGCCTTCTGTTCCGGGATGGACAGAGGGTAGATCTTACCCCGCGGTAGGACCGCCCCGGGCAGCAGATCGATCGCGCAGTCCCATGGCCGATGTGGAGGTAGGGTGGTCGCTTGATGTTCATCGAAGACATCCTGGAACGCCCGATTGGGAAAGGGAATCTCGGGAGGATGTCCAGCAGGTGGCCTATCCACGGAGGTGGTGGAGAGGGGAACGATCGGAGTGGTGGTATGAGCGGAGGTCCTCGTCATAGATGGCAGGCAGTGATGGAAGCAGTCCTCCCCCCACCGTAGGATCTCGCCGGTGGACCACTGGACATGTGGGGAGTGGGTCTCCAACCAGGGGCGCCCCAGGATGATCTCGGCCGTGGAGCCCTCCAGCACCAGGAAAGAGATCTTCTCCTTATGAAGCCAGCCGATCTCCAGCCCCAGGTCGGGACTACGATGTCCGACCCGGCCGCGCCCCAGAGGTTGACCGAGGATGGTTTGTACTTGCAGTTTGTGGGGAATGGATCGTTGCCTGGTTTGTAGCCGGTTTAAGGTGGACAGAGAGATGAAATTGGCCGCTGATCCGGAGTCGATCAGCGCCTGAACTGAAAGGGAACGGTTCAGATAAGTGAGAGTGGCAGCAGTACATTTCAAGGGGGAAATGGGTAGTGGTAGGTGGACTGTACTCACAGCGGGTCGGGGCGGACGAATGGGGCAGGTGGCGAGCAGGTGACCGGAGGCTCCACAGTATAGGCACAGACCGTTGGTGATACGCCGATTTCTCTCGGACACTGGCAGACGCGAGGTACCAATGTCCATCGGCTCTGGTGCTGGAGGACTGTGATGACGGGACGCTGGACGAGGAGGTGTGAGTGCAGGGCTGTCGAGCTGGCAGGCAGTGCGGCGCTGATCGATGCGAATGGATCGCTGGATGATGCTTTCTATTCCCACGGTGTCATCATAGATCGCGAGCTGAAGACGGATGTCTGAATTCAAGCCATGACGGTATGCGGTGATGAGCGCGCTCTCGTTCCAACCGAGAGTGGCGGCGAGGGTGCGGAACTGCAGGGCATAGGAGGCAACTGACGATCTCCCTTGCCGCAACCGGTACAGCTGGTCTTGCACCGAGATGGAATGGGCAGACTGTGAGAATACTTCGATGAAGTGACCGGAGAAAGCAGCAAACGTCCGTGTAACTGGACCTCGATCTTTCCACAGGGCATGAGCCCAATTGAGCGCTCGACCTCGCAGGAGTGAGATGAAAAATGCGACCTTAGATCGTTCGGTGGGGAAGGCGGATGGATTCATCTCCATGTAGAGCTCGCACTGCAGGAGAAAGCCGCTGCACTCCTCCTCCTCGCCAGAGAAGGGCGCTGGTTGGGCCATGGGACTGACAGAGGCAGACGGGGAAGAAGTGGTGACGGTGGCCGTGGAGAGTGCTGGAGCGCTAGTCCGGGGAATGGTAGGAGAGGGTGGGGTCGGTGTAGCGCTGGTGCTCGGGGTAGGTTGTAGCATGTTGTTGGTCTGGTCTTCTGTCACAGACTAGAAGGACACAGATGGATAGAGTAACCAGGTTTATTGAACAGGTGGTTGGGTTAGACAACAGGTGAGTATGCAATGGAGAAAGTTCAGGGATGCAGCGGGAAACAGTCTGATGAAGTATATCTTATCTGGTGCAGGACGGAGAGACGGAGAGTGGAAGCAGCAGACGGATGAACAGGTGGAGACCGGGAACCAGGAGCTGACGATGGGCTGACGGAGCTGAAGCAAGCGGGTAAGTAATCCGTAACTTAGTGGTCAGGGTAACAGGAGTCTGTAGCCGTAGAATCGACGAGACCAGACGGTGAGTGACTGTGAGGAGTGAGTTTATAAAGGGAGGATGATTGGGACGGTGATTGATGTGGGCAGGTGACGGTGATTAGAAGGCTGGGGAGCTGGAACGAGTGGGCGGAGTGAAGGTGTCTGGTGCTGACGCGGATGGATCCGTGACATAAATAGACCTTCGAAATAAAATGAAACCTTTTGTTCGGTTTCAGCAGCAG